CTCCCCGACCGTTTGCCCTGCTGCGGCGCTAGACTGTTTTTCTCTTGCTCTGGCCACGGGGCGGTCGCCCGTCGCGTGGCCTGCGCCCCTGGCCCATGGGGCTGCTGGAGGTACTCTTTCGGTCATTGAGGTCTCCCTCACTGCCGGCAGCGCTTTCCCAACCGCCGCTGCTGCGTTCACCAAAGCTGTGCGGGCGTTGAGCTCAAACAAATTCCACCGCGCCGTGGAGCCAGCGGGACCTGGGGAACATGGATCCTGGGCGCGGCCCCCCGGAGGGCCACGCCTCCCTTTCTCAGGAGGGTGGGATAAAAACACAGACACAATGAATCGTCGACTCCCGGGAAAATATGGGAAATACAGGAAGTGTGGGTGGGGGGAAACGAAAACCAAAATGATCGAAGAAAATCTGGTGGGGAATTTTGGGAGGCGTGACTATTTGTTTGTGTCCCCCAGGGCCACATTCATCCACCCCCCGTCGGCCCGCCTCCACCTCGCCGTGGAGCTCCTGCGGGCCCCGAGGGAGACGGGCCCTGGGCTCCCCGGGCGGGAGGGGGAGGAGGAGGAGGAGGAGGAGGAGGAGGAGGAGGAGGAGGAGGAGGAGGAGGAGGAGGAGGAGGAGGAGGAGGGAGGAGGAGGAGGAGGAGGAGGAGGAGGAGGAGGAGGAGGAGGAGGAGGAGGAGGAGGCGGAGGAGGGGAGGAGGAGGAGGAGGAGGAGGAGGAGGAGGAGGAGGAGGAGGAGGAGGAGGAGGAGGAGGAGGAGGAGGGGAGGAGGAGGAAGGAGGAGGAGGAGGGGAGGAGGAGGAGGAGGGAGGAGGGAGCAGGGGAGGAGCAGGAGGAGGAGAGGAGAGGAGGAGGAGGAGGCGGAGTAGGAGGAGGGAGGAGGAGGAGGGAGGAGGAGGAGGGGAGGAGGAGGAGGACACGAGGAGGAGGAGGAGCAGCAGGAGCAGGAGGAGCAGGAGGAGGAGGAGGAGGAGGAGGAGGAGGAGGAGGAGGAGGAGGGGACGTTTTCCTGAGGACCCGTTTCGCCCCGGGGACGATTTTTTGAGGCATCGTTTTGGCGATTCGGAGGTACAGTTTGGGTATTTTGTATGTGTCGCCAAGAGCCCGCCTGTAGGAGGACAGGCCAACCTCTTCCGTCACGCCACATGCCTCCTTCCTTCTCCGCCCCGTCCTCACCATAGCCCGGCTCCTGCCTCCTGCCCTTTTCTCCTTCTCCCTCGATCCTCCCTCCTCCTCGCGGACCTGCGCCCGGTCCCGCGGTCCGCGCGCCCCCCGGATCTCCGACGGCAGGATCTCCCCAGGTCCTCACGGGAGGCCCCCCCCGATCTCCGACGATCCATATTCGAGGTTTTCCCGCGCTCTCGTCGGTTATCCCTCCTTCCCCTCGCGGACCTGCGCCCGGCCCCGCGGTCCGCGCGTCCCCAGATCTCCGACGGCATGAGCCCCAGGTCCTCACGGGAGGCCCCCCCCGATCTCCGGTGATCCATATTCGAGGTTCTCCCGCGCTCTCGTCGGTTCCCAGAAGTGTTCCGGCGTCATGATGGTCTTCAGCGGCTGCGCCTTGCCGAGGGCGTTTTCCGATGGCACCCGACTCGTCCCGAGCGGCCGCCGCGGAGGCCGAGTTGTGACCCGAAAGCCATTGGGGGCCCGAAAAAAAGAAAAACATCTTCGGCGATGTAATTTTCAGGCGATCGCAAACATGGACCAAGGGGGCGTAGATTAGCGACGGGCCTCGTTTCCATGGGAAATTGCGGATTTCTGCCGCCGAACGAGGCGGCACCGTCGTCCGCTTTTCGGGGAGGGCCCCTCCCCCGCTCCATGGGTTTGGCGACCGCGCGCCACATCCATGGATCGCTAATCCATGTTTGGCGTTTTTCTCCGCCTTCGGCCTCTGGGGGAGCAGTTCGCGGGCCCTGCGCTGTCAAAAACGGGCTGGTGGGCGACAAGCTACCACCGGGTAAGGGGGTCGAGACCTCCCTGGGGCCGCGGACGGGAGCAGCCACACCGTCGGATGTCTGGGTCTGCTGCGGCCAATTCGCGTCCTCCTCCTCCTCCTCCTCTTCCTCCTCTTCCTCCTCCTGGGTGTTCAAGGTCGAGCTCTGCCGCTGGTTCGGAATCGGTCGATTCCGAACGTGCTGCGTCGTCAGCAGCCCCCGACAGGGTTGAGCCAAAGCTTGGGTAGGCGCCAGAAGCGCCGTCCTTGGACATGGAGTCCACGGAGGCGGAAGCCCACGACGGCTGAGCCTGAGTCCTGCGATGCGCCGACGGGGCCTGACGAGGTCCGCGCTCGGCAAGCGTGAAGATGCGGCTGAAGGTCGCGAGGGTCAGCACAGAGAGCTTGGAGAACGACGGGAGGAGGAGGAGGAGGAGGAGGAGGAGAGGAAGGAGGAGGAGGACCAGGAGGAGGAGGAGGAGGAGGAGGAGGGGGAGGAGGAGGGGGAAGGAGGAGGAGGAGGAGAAGGAGGAGGAGGAGGCCCCTGTCACGGAGCAGACCAGCAGGGAGGTCAGCTCGACGACCGTTGGGCACGGCCGGAGAAGGACGTGAGGGGCCGCACCGAGCTCGCGAGGGCACGGCTGCAGCTTGTGAAGGTCCGCATGTGGAGCGCGAGAGTCTGCTCGCAGAGCCTGAAAAGTTGGACCTTCGGGGGTGGACAGACCTCCTACCCTGACACGTCGACTGGCGAATTGACCGTTTTCGGTTCGCGAGAGGGCGTCGCGGCAGCTATTTTTGCGGGTCCAGGTCCGTCGGTGTCGGTCCTAGGCCGCTTTCACTAAGGGAGGTTTACGAAACGGAGGTTTGTCCACCGCCGAGACCTGGAGGTCGTGAAGATCCGCCCGAGGATCGTGGGGGTCCGCTCTCAGAGAGCGTGGGGATGCACGCGCAGGGCTCGAAGACGGGCTCGAACGATTAGGAGCCCAGAGAGTGAGAGAGAGAGAGAGAACAAACAAAACAAATAATAAAAAACAAGAAAGAAACAAAACAAACAATGAACAAGAGAGAGAGAGGCCCCATGCTGCCGCAAATCGGGCGAGCGGAGCTCGCAAGGTGTCCCCGCCACGCGGCGGGCCACCTCCGTGTGGACGTGGGGCGACGACGACGACGACGACGACGACGATGACGGCGAGGACGACAACGCCGACGACGCCGACGCCGACGCTGACGACGACGACGATGACGACGACGACGACGACGACGACGACGGCCGCGGCGGCGCCGGCGCCGGCGGCGACGGCGGTTGCGGCGGCGGCGACGGCCACGATCACGATTGCGACCACGACTACGACTACGATGACGACCACGACCACGACTACGACCACGGCGACGACGACGACGACGACGACGACGACTACGACCACGACCACGACGACGACGACGACGACGACGACGACGACGACGACGACGACGACGACGACGACGACCCGTCGGCCCGAGCCGAGGTCCCTCCGCGTGCAGAAGCTCTGGCAGAAGGCCATGGGTACAGGCGGGGCCCCTGTGCGCCTCGACCTGCCCTGCCATCCTGCCATCTGCCCTCCTCCTGCCATTCTCTGCCCTGCTCTCCTCCCGCTGATCCTCGCACTCCCCCTCCTACCCCTCCCCCCCCTTCCCCTCCTCCTCCTCCTCCTTCTCCTCCTCCTCCTCCTGCTCCTCCTCCTGCTCCTCCTCCTGCTGCTTCTCCTCCTCCTCCTCCTCCTTCTCCTCCCCCTCCTCTCCCTGACCATCTCTCTGCACCAGATGCACAAGGACAAGGGAGCGAGAAGCCGCCGCGCGCCCGCCTCGTGACCATCCAGTGGCGGCGAGGGGGGGCTGCCGACCGACACCTCCAGGGCAGGCTCCTGCATCCCCCCGCTCCTCGCCCATCCAGGCTGGGACCTCCTCTCCGATCAGTGTGTCCCAGGGGCCCAGGAGTTGAAGGCTTTTTGTTGGTCAACGCCCCCCCCCTTTGGGTCCGAGCATCTGAGAGACGCAACAGAACGAGCTCCATCGCGCCGACGTTGGCGCGTGAGCTGCCCCGCGTGAGGTCGCGCGCAAGCGCCCTCGTCTCTCATGCGGCGTGCCGCGCTGGCGGCCCGCGCAAGCCGCCGCGTAAGGTCGCTACGTCATGTCGCGTAAGACCCATGCTCGATCGTCGCCCAGATGGGACCGGAGGGTCGGAGGATCTCGCGCCGCATCGCTGATGCATCACCTGATCCGCCTGGCGTCCCGAGTCGACGCTGACTGGTCCTACCATCCCCCTGTCGTCCGCCTCTGCAGGCAGCGCCAAGGGCCAGCCCTGGCAGGTCGCCGTGATGCGGGCGCTGCTGACGGAGGCGCGCTCCGCCAGGCGGGCTCCCCTCCCTCCCACCCTCCCGTGCCTCCTCCTCCTCCTCCTCCTCCTCCTCCTCCTCCTCCCAGCCCTCCCTCCTCCCTCTTCCCTCCTCCCTCTTCCCTCCTCCCCCCTCCATCCCCCCTCATCCCCCCTCCTCCCCCGTCCTCTTTCCTCCCTCCTTCTCCCTCCTCCTCCTCCTCCTCCTCCTCATTCCTCCGTTGCCTTCTCACGCTCGCTTACCGTCGCATCCTTGCTCCCCCCGTCCTCCTCCCCTCCTCATCATGATCATCGTCGCCACCACTATCATCATCATCATCATCCTCCTCCTCCTCCTCTCCTCCTCCTCCTCCTCCTCCTCCTCAGCAGCAGCAGCAGCAGCATCCTCATCATCATCAGCATCATCCTCATCAGCATCAGCATCGACAGCAGCAACAGCATCATCATAATCAGCATCATCATCAGCAGCATCATCACCAGCAGCATCATCATAATCAGCATTATCATCTTCTTCGTCATCGTCATCGTCATCATCATCAGCAGCATCACCATTATCAGCACCAGCCTCATCATCATCAGCCTCATCATCATCATCAGCATCATCATCATCATCATCATCATTATCATCATCGTCATCGTCATCGTCAGAGCATCATCATCATCATCAGCATCATCATCATCATGATCATCATCATAGCTGTTTGCTTAAGCATTTGCAGGGCCGCAGCTTTAACCTTTCACGTGAGTCCCCCCCCCCTCTCCCTCCTGCTCCTGCCATGCCTGTGCTCGCGCGGCTGGATTGGTTCGCTCGGCAGCTGGAGTACGGGCGCAAGATCCACGTCGTTCTTAGCCCCGCTGTTGCTGCAGACAAGAAGAAGTATAAATTCGTGCTCCGCTCGGCGCAGGACGGCGCCGCTAGTGACATATTGAAGGTGCAATTGCGTCATCATCTTGCGGTGCTTCGCAGTACGATCCAGACCCACATTGTAATGGACCGTGGGTACAAGCACTCCGACGGCCTTTCGGAGGTGGCCTTCTGGGTGTCGTCTTCTGCACCTCGGGCTGCTCCTGCCGGCGAATATGATGACAGTGTCGGAGGTGGTGGAGAGCCGAGTGGACTTGATGATGAGCACGGCGGCCGTCTTGGTAGTCGTCGGCTCTCTGAAGTTGAGCATGCTGCTGTAGAAGACCCCTGGTTGGACGGCAACGACCCCTGGAGCCGTAGCGCCATGCCTCGTGGCGGAGGCGGTGCCCCGCTGCACAAGGCTCCGCGGCATCACCATCATCAACATGTTGAACGCCGTGCTCATTTTGCGCCTGAGCGCGATGTTCAGCCTGCTGGAGATGCAGCCCATGGCGAGGCGCTTCATCGCGTCGCCGATATTCTTCCGGACCTCGTGCAGGATTTGACCGAGACGCAACGCGCAATTGATCACAACCGACGACTGCGAGATGAATTGGGCCTCCATGTCCAGCGGCTTCTTGAAGACGCTGAATGGGCAATCGCCGCCCGGAGGGAGATGGCATCAGTGCGCGAGCAATTGACCGCGGATATGAGTGCTAATGAGGCCCGCCTGGAATCCGTTTCTCGCCAATTGTACACTTGATGTTATCCTCCTCTTCTTCCTCCTCCTTTCCTCTCCCTCTCTCTCTCTCGCCGAAAGTCGTCCGGGTGACTTACAGCATGTTCTGAAATCAATGGCTCCAGGAGAAAATATTCGCACCCAGTGGGGTTGGTGTACTAGAGCCGTGCCGGTTATTTTCCAGTCGCGCGGCGTGCGGAGGAGACCTCGTGCAGTGGAGCATTTGATCACCATCATCATCATCACCATCACCATCATCATCATCATCATCATCATCATCATCATCATCATCATCATCATCATCATCATCATCATCATCTCCGCTATGGCCATAACCATCCCATGACAATACTCATCAGCATCATCAGCACAACCATCATCATCAGCATCACCAGCAGCAGCATCTGCAGCACCAGCAGCAGCATCATCGTCATCAGAATCCCTGTCCCACGCGGGGGGGGGGGAGGAGGAGGAGGAGGAGGAGGAGGAGGAGGAGGAGGAGGAGGAGGAGGAGGAGGAGGAGGTGGAGAAGGAGGAAAAGGAGGAGGAGGAGGAGGAGGACGAGGACGAGGACGAGGACGAGGACGAAGAGGAGGACGAGGAGTGGGAGGAGGAGAACCAGAGCAAGTCTATAATGCTTCAGTGATGTTGCAGTGCACCCTTCCGCCTCGGGCCCTCTGCTCAGAGAAAAAATTGAGTCGCCAGGATCTTTCTGGACGCCCGAAATGGGTATGGACAAAAATTGGCACAATACCCAATAACGAAGGTTGTCCCAAACCAACAGCGGCCGCTGTTGGACAGGCGACCTTCTGTCCCAAAGGGACACAGGCCACGGTAGCGCGGGCAGCGAGTCCTGTTCAATGAGCAGGAATTGCTGTTGGGCATTGTGCCACTTCTTTCCGTACCCACTTCGTTCGTGCCGAATCTCAGGGGCTGGAAGATCTTGGGGGGCGCACCTGGGCGGTTCCCGGAGGGCCCCCGGAGGGCCCCCGCGGGCTGCCGGATCGATCTGTGAGGGTCCCCAGGCCCGAAAGAGGCGAAAACGCCCGGCTCGAAGAAATTGAGTCGCCAGGATCTCAGGGACTGGAAGATCCTGGGGGGCCCACTTGTGGGGCTCCTGTGGAGGGCTCCCAGACGCTCCCCCCGCAGGCCACAGGACTACATATATCTCGGGACGAGACGGGCGAGCTTGCATGCGCGAGCGCTCCCGACGGAGCGCAGCTCACCGAGCGCGTTCCACTACAGTGGGGGCGCGCATCAAGAAAGCATACGCTTTTCGTCAGGGTATCCTGGGTCTTCGCTCCTCGCGTTGCGCGGTGACTTCCCGCAGCCGTAGAAGCTGCTGCGTTCAGGGTGCTCCGGGTTTCACCTCAGGTGCTCCTCGTGCACGGGTTCTCAGGGTTGGGTTTCTTGCGATGGTTTCTTGCGGCCGCGCCCGCACTGTATTCACAAAGTGCCTATTCGCAAACGTCAGAAAAAAACACATGTCTGCTTTGATGTAATTTATCGTAGATCCTCCGCGAGGGATCCAGGCCGTTTGCGAGTAGTCACTTTGTGAGTAGTGGAACGCGCTCGTCTAGCAGCCGCGGAGCATCGCCCCGAGGCCGGAGCACCTCGCTGGGAACGACGGGGATGCCCGAACGCCTCGTGTTTCGATCGTCGGCACGCCACAGAAAAACATGATCGACCCACGAACCTCAGAGGAGGCAAAGGTACCCATACCTCTACCCTTCGCTCGTTTTCCCCTTTCTGGGCCTCCTGGGTGGCCTTCGTCGCCACCGCTGGAATCGCCTCAAAATGCTGGTCAGAACGCACCCCAGGAGAGGTCCGGGGAGTAGCGGTATCAGTACCTTTCGGTTTCCCCAGAAACCGGAAAGGAATACAGACATGTGATGCATGGTAGCGTTTTGAAGATTCCTGATTGGGTGGCGGGCAATTGCAGTGCTGAGTGTATCGATCTTGATATGCCGTGCCAAAGGCTGTGCTGTGCTGCGCCGTGCCGAATTGCAATGTGCCATGCCGCGATTGTGCTCTATAGCGTTGCGGATCGAGTCCTCCTTTGCATCCGATTCCTGGATGTTAAGCTCGAGCGGCCTGAGCTCATAGTAGATGCCCCAGAGCTAATTGACAGGGGGGCATGCCAGGGTGACGCGCCGCGGAACGTCCCAAGGGACGCGCCAGGGGACCTGCCAGGGGACGTGTCAAGACATCCTCAACAAACCCTAGTGCTAGACATCTGCCTTGGCAACCTGGAGGCGTGAAGCCAAGCGTCTCGCTCGAGACGTCCCCAAGACCTGGGCACGTGAAAGCAAGCATTTCCTCTCAATTCTGGTCCCCAGGAGGAACAATCTATAGCACAAAAAACGTTTCGCTCGAGACATCGTCAACAAAGTATGTAAAACGAGCGTTTCGTTCGAGACATCCGCAACAAACGAAACTTATTGTTTTACTCTGTGTTCTATCGATCGGAATTTCAAGAACCAGCGTTTCGTTCGGGACATCCTCAGATTAGAAAGAGCGTGTTCTACCGATGCTGGCGGAAAACCGGGGGGGGTCACTACAGGTTCGAACCCCTCCCCCCCCCCCCCTCTGGAAAACCGGGGGGGGGGGTCACTACCGGTTCGACCCTCCCCCCCCCCCAGCCATCATGAAAAGGGGGGGGGGGTCACTACCGGTTCGAACCCCCCCCCCCCTCGAAAACCGAGTGGGGGTGCGGACAGTGGTGGGGACGGTGTTGGTGGGGACAGTGGTGAGGGGACAGCGGGACAGTGGTGGGGACAGTGGGACAGTGGGACAGTAGAGGGCCGGTAGTGGTGGGGACAATGGTGGGAACAGGGGGGACAGTGGACAGTGGTGGGGACGGTGGTGGTGGGGACAGTGGTGTGGGCACAGTGGGAATGAGGTGGAAACAGTGGGACAGCGGAGGGTACAATGGTGGTGGGGACAGTGGTGAAGGCGGTGGCGAGGACGGCGGTGGGACAATGGGACAGAGGTACAGTGGGGACAGTGGTGGGGACAGTGGGGACAGTGGTGGGAACAGTGGGACAGCTCAGTGGGACAGCGGCGGAGTCAGTGGGACAGTGGGGACAGTGGGGATAGTCGGGCAGTGGTTGGGGCCGTGGAGACAGTGGGGAGAGTGGAACCGTGGTGGGAACAGTGGTGGGGACAGTGGGGACAGTGCGACAGTGGTGGGGGCACTGGTGGGGACACAGTGGGGACAGTGGTGGTGAGGACAGTGGTGCTGGGAACAACAGTGGAGGATGTGATGCGGACGGTGGTAGGGACCGGGAGTCGTTTGCTGGCGGTGAGTGGGGGGGTGGGGAGGGGTTCGAACCGGTAGTGATCCCCCTCCGGTTTTCGAGGGGGGGGGGGGGTTCGAACCGGTAGTGACCCCCCCCGGTTTTCCGGATCCGGAGGGGGGTGGGGGGGTTCGAACCGGTAGTGACCCCCCCCGGTTTCGAGGGGGAGGGGGGGGGGGGAGGGTTAGGGGAGGGGGGGGTTTTGCCGGGGGGGGGGGGGAGCAGGGGATTTTCGGAGGGGGGGGGGGGGGGGGGGCGACCCCCGGGCTCCGGAGGAAAAGGTTGGCAATTTTCCACCGCCGCTTTGTAAAGCGGCGGTGGATCACGCTCTCTCTCAGATTAATTTCGCCGGCCCGTCTCAAGTCGTCCCCAGTGGTAAAACCTCTAAAAGAGAACCTTTGGCCAACGCCCTTTCTGGGAATCTATTCACAGACGCCCTCCCATGGATTGGTCCTGGGCCTCCGGTGAATGAGTCACCACTGCTGAAAGCCAGCAACTTTCTACACCGACGCCCTCCCTGGAGGTACGTGCACAATTCGTCGGAGGGTGTCTGCGTATAGATTTCCGTGGCGTAGTCGGAGACCTGGGTGTTTCCCACGAGTTGGCGGCGCGCCGAGGGGGGAAGTGAGAGGGGGCGGGCCTTCTCAGAAGGCGGCGGGGGCTTGGGAGAAGGCTCAGGAAAAGCTTCTCAGAAGGCCGGGGGCCTTCTGAGCCCCTTCTCGCTCGACCCCCTCGGAGCCCCCCCCTCTGAGGAGGCCCGCCGCCTTCTGGCTTCCCCCCTCGGCGCGCCGCCGAGTCGGGATCTGGGGACCTGGGCGCGAAGAGGTGCGCGGCAGGGGTCGACCTAAACTGTGTTCTGGCGATTTCGTGGGCCGTTTTCGTTTCGACTTCGCTTTGCAGCAAAAGGCTGAACAAAGACAGAGCGAGGGACAACGAAAGCAAAACGAAAACAAATACCTCAATCTTGTTCGAGCCCTGGTGCGCGCCCCGAGGAGGCCACGACGCCCCCGCCGCGCCCGCGCGCCCCGCCGCTCGCGCGCGCGCGCCGCTGGCGCGCGCGTGCGCTGCGCGCACGCGCCAGGTGGGCTGGCGCGGCGGAGGCAGCCGAGGGCGAGGACGCGCGCCGCGCGGGCAGGCAGGGGCGGCGGCGGGGAGGAGGAGGAGGAGGAGGAGGAGGTGGAGGAGGAGGAGGAGGAGCAGGAGGACGAGTGCAAATCCAAGAGTCATCAGGGATGTTGGGATAAACCCTCCCTCCAGGCTCCCTCTTCACAGGCCCCTACAACGGGTCATGTCCACTGAGGGAACTGCCTCATTGGAAGACAACCGTTGGAAGACCCTAGAAATTCCAAAACTTTGTTCTCGGGATTCCAACGCCACGGATCATCTCGAGTGTTGCGTCTTGAAGGTCTTGACCCTCATAATCCTGAATCCTTCCAAAACACCATGTCTGGTACGCTGATCATGGAAATCCGTGAAACTCTTGCAAATGTAGAATCAGGAATGTGCGTGGCGCTGAGGCGAGAGCACCGTTTTGAAAAGGAATCGCCCTCAATCCGTGCAACTTCTGTAATTTGGTAAAACGAATGTGTGCGGCGCTCAGGTGAGAGTCACCGCTTGAAAACCAGTTAAAACCAGTCGCCCTCAATCCGTGGCGAGAGCCGCATTTTGAAAACCACCCGCCCTCCATCTGTGAAACTGTTGTCATGTTTTAGGCTTCAGGGTTATAAATAGTGAGGAAGTCTACGGCGGAACGCCCGGCCCGCCCCAAAAATTGGCCTCGGGGTGCGACAGGGAGACGTCATTTATAAGGTAGGGAAGAGGAATGGAGGAGGAGGAGGGGGAGGAGGAGGAGGAGGCGGAGGAGGAGGAGCAGGAGGAGGAGCAGGAGGAGGAGGAGGAGGGGTGGGGGACAAGCTAGGTGCGCTCGCGT